CCCCAAAACCCCAAAACCCCAAAACCCCAAAACCCCAAAACCCCATATAAACCAAATATCTGTGGTATTAAGAATAAATCTTGGCTCTGTGACAACTGTAAATCTTGTTAATGTCCCTTTATCAAATGTGGAACCACCACTATTAGCCAAGTCAGGATGTTACACATCCAGGAGATCACGTAAGAGACTATGAAGAGATTAAACAAGTAGATGTTTCTAGAAGCTATGCATTTACCCATCCATGGGCAGTGGTGATCGTAGCCTTCTACACATACTTCTCATACATTTCAATGGATAACACGATACCCATCAGCTACAATTTTTCACTTCCTGCAATACATAGGATTGCCCAAATCCTTCGATCTAGTCATCTTCGGAATTCCTGGGTTAACCAAAACAGTAGCCAGCATCGATCCTAAAATTCCCCAAAATCCTTACCAAAAAATACACAAAGAACTGCGTACATTCCAATTCGAACGTACCAGTAAGAATCACTGATCTTCCTGATGCCATAAGTTGCCAAGACTAGGTAAGCCAGGGCTCCGAGTAGCTACAAGGAATAATTTAGATGTATTATGAGGAATTGGAGGGGCTTAGAGACGCTAGGTTGGGTATAGAGGGTGGTTTAGAGGATTTGTGCTTTTGTAGACTGAAAAAATCTTAAGAATGAGAAGAAAATTAGAGTTGTTTGAGGACTGGATCGTGGCTTTTAGGGAGATTTTTGGGGAAATTGAGTGGATTTGGGGAGCCAAAATGATATTTTAATGAAATTTGATCATGAATGAGTTGGAAGTTATTTTTATGGCGAATAGCGAAGAGCCACTATGAGGAAATGAGTATTTAAGAGCATTTTTTGTCAATTAATCTTGCATAAATCAACCTTAACATAGTGATAATGGGATTTGTATAAAAATCTAATATGTCCACATATATGGTGATAAAATATTCAAATCTATCAAAATAAACTTCACCATCTACTAAAGTCAAACATTTATGAAATTCCAAGATGATGAAGTAACTTGTTAATTATAAACAGTCGGAAGGAATTTGCTCTAAGTTCAGAATAGTGCAATAAAGTATCTTAAATTGTAGCCTCTCTCAACCCAACCATTCAAAGATATCTTACCATGATTATCGAGAATTTGAAATCAGGGCCAATCGTGATCATTGGTTTCCCTTCCTTTGAGTGTAAGAAGGTGTATCAATTTCCTATTTTCTGAAACCCACACCTGCTTTGCTTAGAACTTTCGTCGAAGGTGTAAGTATCTTGTGAGATAGATGCTTCCTAAAAATTTATGAGCACTGGCTATTTAGTAATTATTAAAGAGAATTTATGAGCAAAAAAGGTTCTAAAAGAGTTTAATGGAGATAAGTGCTTTTCACTTAAGCACTTACTTGATCACTATTGCTTGAGATTTCAGCAGACTAGAGGATGATTATGACACAAAATACGTAAGGAATTGGAGTATCAATGTCAAGATCTTGAAAGGATACAGGTTTCATTTTTTTTAATTTCAATTTTTATAAATAAAAACGGGGTTTTGGGGTTTTGGGGTTTTGGGG